CAATTCTAAAACTAATACAATAACTACTAGGTAACAATAAATAATGAATAAATAAATAACAATAAATAATAAAATATAATAAGAAAGACTTAAAAAAAATCAATAATAAATAATTAAAAAAAAACTTCTAACAATATCAATAAGTATAATATAATATTATGTTTTTATGATTAATTATTTTAAAGATCAATTTCGTTACCTAAAAAATGAAATATATAAAAAATCAACTTTTCTTTTTTTCTTTTTTTAAAAAAATATTATTTTAATTAAATTAGTAGTAAATTAAATATTAAATATATTAGATGAAATAATATTTTTTTCAAAATAATACATAATAATTTGATAATTTTTAAATATAACAAAATCTAGAAATACAAAAAAATCAATCATCTCCTCAATAAAAGCATTAAAAAAAAGTGGAAATTTAAAATAAGCAAAATCATAGAATTAATTATTTTTATTTATTTTTTAATATTATTTATTTATTTATAATTATAATTAATATAAATAACAAATATAATTTTATATATTTAATAGAATTTGTCAAATTAAGATGCTTTTATTTTGAAATCATAAATAAAAAGAATAAAAAGAATAAAGGTATATCGTTATCATTATCGTCATTATCATCATCATTACCATCTATACGTGTTGCCCAAATCCCAAATCATTTGAAATTTGAGATACCAAAATCCCAAATTACTAGTATTTGGGATTTGGGATTTGGGATTTCGGCAAAAAATACTAATCATAATTTGAGATTTGGGATTTGGGATTTTGGCATTTGGGATTTCAGCATTTGGATTTTGAATTTGGGTGACAGATATATCTTCATGATATAGTTTACATACTGGACATAATGATCCCTCAATAATATCATAGTAATCAAATTTTTCAGTAATAAATATTTTATATAGATCAGAATATTGCAACAATATCTTATTATGAAAGTAAGCATGGTCATGAGTTGGATTATTCTGTTCCTCGGATAAAGTTTTCTCAACAATGGGTTTTAAGGTAGGTGGTATAGATGAAACACTTACCTTCGCATTAGTCTGATCATTATGTTTCGTGAGGATTTTTGAAATCACATGATTATTATTTGTGACAATTTCCAATAATGGTTCTACTGAAGTTACATTCTTGATAACATTTTGAATTTGACTATTAATAAGGCTTAAAATGGCATATATACTGTAGGTAACTTGTTTAATTTTTTCTATTCCAACTCCATATTTTCCAAATAACATCTGAATTTTCTTGGCTCTTAAAGTTTTCATATGCAAGTTTCCTAATGTAATACCAAGTAGATAGCTTAATATTTCCTTGTATAATTGTGTTCTAGCAGTTTTATCTGTAATTCCTAAATCCTGACAAATTTCGATAATTCTATTTTCAAAATTATTTGAATAATTATACCATGCTAAGATTTCTTCATGCCTAGATCATAGTGTATAATGAAATAAACAGACTAAGCTTTGTATTGTGATTTGAAATGGTCGATATTCTGGGATTATTACTGATGATATGATGGGGATGTCACTAAGTAATTCTTTTATTAATCCTTGTTCTATATACTGGCTTTTAGTGAGTTCAATTTCATCAGGTTTCATAGTTTCATTTTGCTGATCGTCACGTAAGCTCGTGACGAAAATATCTTGGTATTTTTCTTGTCGATCGTCACGTAGGTTCATAACGAAAATTTCTTGGCATTTTTCTTGTCAATCGTCACGTAAGTTCGTGACGAAAATTTCTTGGCATTTTTCTTGTATTAAACTTCGCTCATGCAAAATATCAGGAGTTGAGAGTAACTCTTGATCCCAAAGTTTCTTCTTCCTAATTCTCTCCATTATCTCTTTACTAACCGTTTCCTTATGCATCGAATTTAGGAATTTGTTTTCTTCTTTCTCTTCCAGTGATATGGTTTCCGCGGGGATAGGAGATATGGAGATCTCTAATTCCTGTTATGTGTCGAAATTACTAGAGGCAGGTACTTCATGACTAGATATGATAGATTCCTGATGTATATCAGAATTGTTGGAAGCGGTCGTAGAGTGGTTAGATATATTATCTAGTATATTTTCTACTTTTTCAGTGGAGCTGAGATGGTCAAGATTATTGTTAGAGTTTATTTCAGGAGAAATAGCACTTTGTGTCTGCTCGAGATTTACAGAATTGGTGTTATTATCCGTGCCAGAATGAGCAATAATAGATGATGGAATAGGTGTTTGTAAAGTTACTGATAAGTTCGGAGAAACTGAAGACTGCGAAATATTATTAGCAGTTCGATTTTGCTTTATAATTTGTTTTAGCTTGGTATTTCGATCCTAAGATTAGTGATTTCTTCTATGATCTGTTTTAACTTAACATTTTCAATCTCAAGGTTGATAACTCGTTGTTTCAACAATTCAAGCTCTAATGACATGTCTGATAATAATTTTTATATAAAGTACGATTTATTTAATTTATCAAGTTAAAAAAAACTACGTTTCTGTAACAAAATGTCATGATCAGACTTGCCAATTACCTTTGCCAAGAAAATTATTTCAGAAAAATAACATATGATACATTACACGAAAAAATAACATGTGATACGTTGTAGGTTCCTCTAACCAAAAATCGTTATTAATAATTATACAATAAAAAATCGTTTCAAGAAAAATTTCTGGGACCTAATAATTGTTCGGTTTCGGAAAATATCAAGAAAATAACACATGATGTATGATTCGAAGAAGAGGCAGAGCCTCGAATCTCTGATTCATCACCTAAAGACTTGTACATTCCTCTAACTAAAAATCTTTATTAATAATGAAGCTAGTGTCAAAGATACATAAAATATATATATGATAGAAATACAGGATAAAATATATTATATACGAAGAAAAATCTATCTATTTATGGGATGGGGATGTTACCGTGGGACTTTGGGTAGCATTTCTTGATGGATATGTATTGACTTGCTCTAGAGCTTGTATCAATAAGCTTTGGTTTACAATCATAATATTTCTAAGAGTTAAAAGTAAACGAATAAGAGGTTCTACATGCCATGGAATATTTTTTGTAAAAGGTATTTCCACCTGATCTACATAAAAATATCTTGGTATCCCACTCACATCTTTTACTAAAATATTTAAATATAGATCTTCACCAACTACTTGAATTCCAACAATGTCAAATTGATTGTTCATTGGTCTACATGCAACACCTACAAAACTTATACCATCTAAAGTCTCTCTCCATAATTTTACCAAATCATCTTTTCTTTTTGATCTAGTACAAAGAATTCGTGATGATTCAACATAAGCAAGTTCAAAAATCTTACCTCCATATTTTGCCATAACCATAACATCCAGCTTTTTTCCTATTGGGATCTTGTATATTGATCTTTCTTCATTTGATCCTGAACTTTTATGAGCCTTGCTTACCATACTTTAACGTTCAGCAGTACTTAGAAAAATTTCACCATTAGGAAGTTCCTCCAGACTAGCTCGAAGTAAAGGTACAATGATATCTGTGATATAAGTCCCTTCACTTTGAGTGCCTCGTATTTCACTAGTTATAAATGTCAGATTATTCCATACCCCTTCTCTATAAAGATGGAAAATAAAATTTGCTATAAATTAGCATAGCTTTGAAACAGATATTTGGATATTCACATTTCATGAAATACAACTACATACAAAACATATAATATACGATTTGTTCGTTCTATTAATTTTGATCTTTCCTCTTTCCACTCTTTGTTATGTACAATATTTCTAAATGCATTCGGAACATTAACTCTATTGAAATTATTCAAAAATTCAACGCATCTTGAAGTAATGAAGGTAGGGAGGACGTATTTCATACTCTCACGTATTTCTAAAAAAACTTGCATTTGTCTCTGTCCTAGATTTTTTATTAATACAGAATCATTAGTAATTATCATATTAGCTTTGAGGTCACGCCAAGTAAGTTCAGAATGATATAGAATTTAAATTTATTTTAAGGGCATTATAGAGAGATGTATCAGTATTAGCTATCGGTGCTTCAAGTTTTAATTGTAATGCTTTTAAATTTTGATCAATTTTTTCTCTCAAATGGTCAGGAGTACCTTCTTGTTTCATACTTAATCCTTTCACCACATCTAATTCTACAATATTTTTATATATAACTTCCGTCTACGGCAAATATAAAAAATAGATATATGATCACAATTATTTTAAAACATGTTATAAAGTGAATAACCCATTTTGTTTGCATGTGCATAATCAGATACTGTTTATTAGCCTCGTTAATTCTAAAAATTAAAAGTAATTCTATTTTACATATCACACATAGTTTAGGAGATAGCAGAAACCCTCGACATCATGAGAAAAAATCCTGACCATATCACTCTTCCGGGTCGGCGTCCCTAACTTTTAGTAATAATACGTAAAATAGACTTGACCATGTCAACTCTGCCAATAACATTTGCTGTAAAATCATCATTATATATAGTTATTTCCATAGTTATAAAGCAAGTATATAATTTACAAACCTGTGTTAAAACCTTTAAGACTTTCATTCTTCGTTCAAAATTAGTTATCTTTTTCAATGAAATATTCACTGCACGCTCTGCAAAATCTTTAATATCGTTTAATGACAATATAGTTGTTCCTTTTCTCATCAAATAAATAATTGTAACAAAACATATAGCTTCAAGAGATCCTTCTAAAAAAAGTGTTTCGATTTTTGAAATTAAGATTGACATATTGGAAATGAAAAATTTGATTATATGTGAGTAATAGTAAATCAAAATTATAAAAAGACGTAATTAAAGTTTCTATCAACATCGCTATACTCTCCTTTTAACATGTCTCATTATTTCCTTTTTAGTATCTTGACTTATAGATTAAGAAAGAAGTCAGCATATGCATGAGAACAAAGAATATGTATATGCTCCATAACCACTTGCTTAATTATAAATAAAAAGTTCACTATACTTTCCTTTTATTACTTTTCGTTATTTCACCAAAAAATAAATTAGGAAAAAGATAACATATGCACGAGAATAAAGAGTATGTACATATTTCGAGTCGATTATTCAAACCAGATTATCGATATCCCTATTTGTAAAAAGTACAACATATCAGATTAGTTTTACGATAAATAGAAATAGTGGAGCAGTAAAGCTAATAAAAGTAAAAAAGCGATGTTATATATCCACTTTTGAGATATTTTTCACATAGATATGCAAGGTGTAAGGGGAGCTAATTAAATTTGGTAATCGGTGTATCGTATGATCTAATGATGCATGCAGGTTCTATTACATTCGAATTCCTTCTATGGCATATATCACATGGTAGGTTAATTATTTTAGCGAAGATATCAAGTTACACAAGTTATTACTTACCATAAACTGTAAGTACGAAGTATCATTGCTATACAATTATTGTAAGAGAATAGTTTGTTGTTGTCATTTGCTCATGTTAAAATCTCATAACCATTTACTAATGAAATTCATGAATCAGTTTTGGTACTTATATCCGAGAATAAACTATATGTCCGAAATAGATTCTTTATTCACGATCTACCATGACTATCATTTGTTGATTTCATATGCCTGTCAATTATCATGAGTAATCGTTGCAACAATATCTACACGAGTAATTTTATATGTGTTAGAGATACTAGCTCTACTATAAATACCATTACCCGAACTTAAGATACTTTATTTTTCCATATAATATGTGTAACAAATTGACACAGATATGTAATTAAATCTAATCCAGATAACATTTTCAACATATAACTTCTGAAACTCTTCATAACTCTAAAGAGATATATCTCGTATTTCTTGGTATAAGATCAGGAGTTATACAATTTGGCTCTTTAGGGATATGTCTTCGAAGTATATCGATGTATAGAAAATAATTTTAAATTGGATCTGAGAAATAGAACGTTTCTATCTAAGTTGAATACTAAAGAGCTAAAAGATGATGAGCTAGAAAGATTAACAATGTTCTCAACAGTAGATAGTCTTAGCTGTGTCAGCTCTGCTAATTCTGTATCCTTATATATCAAAACAACTTCTTTATCTTTTAAGCGTAGATCTAAATTAACAAAAAATGAATTCAGATATAATCATATATATTGAACCAAATCTGTTAGGTCAAAATACCTCTAAATATACCTAAATCTCATATAATCGTTAAATATATTCAGAGCATATCATAATATAAATAGAAGACTTGTAATAACTGGTGTACATAATGTACTTAATAGAGTTCACTAGTCGAAAATTGATAAAACATACACATATCAAGTACCTGATATGTGTATAGTATATCCCTAATATCGGGCATATATCGGGTACCTGATAAATGTAGAAAATATTTTATATATATATCGGATATCCGATAAGTGTTGTTATTCGTGTAAACCTTCTACAATTTACAAAGACAACGGGATAAAATAATACTAAAACTAATAATAAAACTAAGTATAACTAT